CTACTATATTGTCTTATACTATACAAGAGACCTTTGATTAGTAGTACTTCCTGTTGTCGGGGCTTTACTTAGAAGTATTCGTACCCTCAATTAATCAAGACTCTTCTAAGTAGCGAAGCCTTTATTCGAAGATTCCGAGGAACCTTTTGTATACGTGAACCCGGTGAGTTCGTTCGCCCGCATGATCCGGGAAGAGTTGGGATGCGACCGGCCGCGATTCGGCACTGTCCCCTACGGTTCGGCCGGCACCAGTCCGGCCGGTATGCGGTCCGGCGACAGACTTTGACTATGTGCACGAGCTCTGCTAGCGATCTAGGGCCGACAAGTCTTAGGCCAATAGACTTAGACTATGTGCGCGAGCCGCTAGCGATCTAGGGCCGACAAGTCTCAAGCCTATTCAATGATTAGAGTAACTTAAGCGATCTAGGGCCGACAAGTTTGAAAGGCTTAGTCGCCCTATCCCATAAGGTTCGGCTAGTTCACGAATAGAACCTGGCAAACGATTTCGGTAGTAAGGGGGAGAGTCCGGATAGAAGTAGAAAGAGTGCAACCGTTACACACCTCCCTTCTAGAGGTGTGTAACGGTTGAGCAAGAGCTAAAGCCAGCGTTGGTTAGCAAGAGCTAAAGCAACCCTACCGGCGTTGACATTTTGGGTTCTTACCTACGGAAGTAGAACCTGAGGCGGGACGTTTGCGTTTAACCCACGTTGTGCCGCCTATCTTCGCCGCACCCCGACACAGGGGCGAAGAAACGGACCGGGCATGCTGCCAATACTCCTTAAGAGAAATTTTGGCATTATAGTGAGATTTGCGACTGGCTTTTACGAATTATGCTCCGGTCCATAATTCTTCCAGGCGATGAGGTACCAAGCAAAACGACGTTTGCCTTTACGAGTGTACTGATGACTTGGGATTCTATCGACTTCATATTTCAAGGCACCTTCAATTTCGGTTGGAGGTGGCGGGGGCTGGTATCGCCCGTCGGCTCGATAAGGCCCAATCAAAGAAACGTACGATACCGGATGAATCCGATAATGAGCCGGCAAATTGAGTTTGTAGGCTAAGCTGCCATTCGTTGAACAACTCTAAACGGGCCTACGAAACGAGGTAAGAGTTTACCAGAACCAGTGAAGCGAATAGGGAGATTCCTGGAGCTCAACGGCACCGAATCGCCTACCTCATACGAGACTTCACGGCGCTTTTGGTCGGGAAAGGTCTTCGGACGCGCCTGCGCTTGAGCCAACGACGCTTTAGCCTTGGAAAGGCCCAACGAGATACGCTCTGCAAAAGAGGTGGCTCAGGGGACCAAAGATACCGGATTGCGCCCAACGGGTGCTTTGGGCTGACGACCAAAAGTAAGTTCGAAAGGGGAGGCTTTAACCGACTCGTGCCAAGGAGAATTATAAGCGAATTCAGCCATAGTCCGATTAAACCTCTCCGAGTAACCCATCCGTTTGAGCATGATAGCAAGAACTAAGAGCAAGTCGAGTACCAATCAATCTGGTAAGTTTAGTCCAAAACTTGCTAGTAAAACGAGGGTCGCGATTGCTAATGAACTTATTAGATGAGCCGTGATACTTAATTAAAGACATTGTTCAAATAGAGATGAGCGAACCCTATTGCGTCGACTGTCTTCGTGGTCGGGACAAAATGGCCTAGCTTTGTTGAAGGATCAACAAAGACCGCCACTGAGTCAAACCCACGCTCAGTCTCCGGCAAATCGGTTACAAGATCAAAAGAAATACCCTCAAATGGATCGTTAGATGTCTCAGTCGATTGTAACAAACCGGCGGCTTTTCGTTGCCGAGGCTTATTGCGCTCACAAACAGTACAAGTAAGATTAAAACGACGGACGTTCTCTGTCTGCCGTCCATAAGGTACCAATGGTTGTATGAACTTCCATTTTTGGAACTTCATTTGGCCCCCTACATGAACGGCCTTGCGCCGTCTGAACAAAATAAGGAAATGCAGACTGCCAGGACTTAAACGTTTTTGCCGTTTTTGAGTAAGTTCAAAAAGTACTTTTCAGAATCGCTTCATTCAGGATTCGATCCCGTGACCTCTCGGTTTCCGTACCGGTCCTCCGGTCACTCGGGTCCCGGCCGGAACGGTGTGCACCTTGAGCACGGTACGTACCTTTCTATTTCGAATCCCATTCAGACTTCATTTCAGGCACTGCTCGCAGCTTATGGCCGCCGCTCGACCATAACTTCAGAATTCAGAAGGAATATGAATGAAAGTATACTGAAAAAGGTAGATGGAAAATTCATTTAAAATTCATTCAGACTTCTTCTGAATCCTGAAAATCTGGGGAGCAGGGGGTGGCGTTTGTTTTTGTTTTGATGCGTTGTTATTTTTTTATTTCATTTTTCTTTTTTTTCTTTTTTTTTTTTAATACATCACCTCTAGAGTCTCTCAGTCTACCCCTTTTGCCCAGAACTTCAGGATTCAGAAGAAGTCTGAATGATTATTCCCTGAAAAAACAATGTCCAAAATTCATTCAGACTTCATTCAGACTGTACTGCACTAGGAAGACCACCGGAACGCTGGGACCACTAGCAGTTTACAACAAACACCACTCCTAGTTCCCACTCCCGTATGGCTCAGAGTTATACTAACCTGCAGCTAACTGTCAGCGTGACTCAGCGTGGAGTTACAGACAAGTTAACTATCGATTAGCAGGC